TCCAAATCAATAGCTCGCCGTATGCTGGAGTGAGGCGCGATGACCTCAACTCCGATCCGCGTCGAGAGAGATGCCTTGATGGGGGGTTTACTATGGGCCCATGACTTATAATAACGGGCTATGGGTGTTTACGTGACTTTGTCTGTGTGTGTGTCTGTTACGAAATTCGTGGAGCGTGTTCCAGCCAGCGTTCTAAGCCCAAATTTTGTATAGCGCATGCTACCTTCATGAAAGTCCAACATGCAAAAGCACGGGTAGATTCGTTAAGTGGATCCCTCAGAAATTGCGCGCCAAACGGGACCTGGCTTCTGTACCGCAAAATTCGGTCCGTATCACCACTTTTTGCAGAGTCGTGGATGAGTTTGGTAAGCAAATGTGCAAGCGATGGAGTTTAGCCAGAAAAGTGGTCGAAAGTTTACTACATAACGAAAACGGCGCCAACACAAATTGGTTGTATAAACGGTCAATTTGCCAAGGCCTAGCTAAACATTTGAGAAGATTTTCGCACAGAGATGTAGCTCACGGTCAGGGCTCGGCACGAGGTGGCTAGATGAAAATGGAAAAAACGAAGTCCCCCTTGACTTTTGGGAATTTTTACGAAGTCCCCTTTGACGCTCAACCAAATTTCCTCTAAAAACCTGAAAAATTCCTCAAAATCTCCCAAAAAACGAAACGTCGACTAAAAAAAAAAGGTCGCCGTCGCCAATTTTCCGTGTCTCTTCGGTCACAAAAACGAAACCCCCTTTGCTTTTCGTCCCAAAAACGATATTCAGCTTGCTTGTAAGCCACCTCGTGCCGAGCTGTGCTCACGGTTATCATTACCTTCATGGCGACTACCAAGTCATGACAAATCCAAAAATCTATTCAAATTTGCGTTTGTTTTCCTGTTCATCCACGCGAAATCACCGATCTCACGTGAAAAGACTTTGTAAATGAGTGGTTGTTTACATTTTATTCGTGGTAGTCGGCATAGCGTGGTGAGTTCCAGTGCCACGATTTTACGAGAATGAGTAAGGTACATAGATAATAGAGCCAGTGCGAACCTCTGCGAAGCAGAGGTGATGCACTGGTATTCACCAAAACTCAAAAAAATTTATCATTTGTAACATCATAACTCTTTCTAGATAGTCGTCTGGCAGGTAGTAAACATAGATTCAAAAGGAGCGTCTTAAGACGAGTTCGATGATATACAGCTTTTTTGGAATGGCTGGGTTAATTTCTGAACATTTCTTCGTAAGTTTAACTTTTTTTAAAAAGGCAAGTGAGTTATCTTTCCCTTGTTAGTGCACTAGTTTGTATATTTATTAGGTTGATGTACAACTCTTGCACCAAGGAAAGAAGTGTTGTATCCATGATGAAATGACATGGGCAGTGAGAGCCATTTATAGCACTAATTCCCCTCCCCCACATACACTGAAATTGCATCGTCATAACACCTTCCCCAGCAGGGCAGTCACAAATAAAAACTAGCGTACGACTAAAGCACCACATAAGTATAAACATCATTATCGTTAACAACTAACAAAGGACCAATTCCAGATTAAAGGCAGTGTCCCGGTAAAATTTCGCTCTCCGTCTTTTCACTTCTTCGGAGGCTTCTCATCAGGCTGAAACCATAGCTGAACAACTTTTCAGCGTTTGAAAATGGCGGAAATGAGCCTTTTTCGAAGCTCTCCGTGTCCGCGTTCGCTCGAAACGGTAAGAGATGGGCGGAGTCCGGAAGTGGACGAGGTTCGGAAGACTTTCGGAGCGGATTTCGAGCTTTCCAGAAGCGCTTCATCGCTCCGACTTCACTGATAGATTGGCTGGGGGTCTATCATTGTAACACGTAGATCCCGATATCTATCAGGAGGAAAGCTGCCTTTAAAGTGGCCAATCGCAGTGATTCGCATATCGTTATATGCGCCTGGATGAGATGGTTCCCAATCTACCTTCCATATCTGCGATGGCATTATATGGAGAAAGTTATCAGCATTCAAAAGTGCAAATCTGGCAAACATTCAGCACTACTTCCTCAAGAACTAGTCGTTCAAAAATACTTGATTGTGTTTGCGGCGTGAGCATCCTTCAAAATCACCACACTTAGTATCTTGCTAGTCAATATTTACTTGAATTTCAAAGCACATCATCTTGACTAGCACAATTTAGTACAGTGATTTTGGAGGACGCTCATATCTACGAGTTTCAAAACAATTAGTTGTTGAGGGAGTGACGCTGAATGTCTAATCTTTTGAATGCTGATAACTTTTTCTAGGGAACGGCATCGCAAATATGGAAGGTAGATTTGGAATCAAAACGCACCAAGTAATATGGGGTTCACTTCAGTTGGACACCTTAAGTTGGGATTTTTCCCGCTAATGAACTGATCAGAGATCCTGCAATAACCACTATGAAGTTTACTGGGAACCGTTTTTTCGTTTTCACTCCTAAGCGTTTTCGCTTGCGTAGTGGATCTTGTCTAAAAGGCAACGTAGATGAATCCGCAGGTTTTGGCATATCGCTTAATAACACTTGTTCAGACTCTCGTTAGCTGCACTGCAATTTCCCTGTAGTGTTTCTCTTCCGTCAGAATATCTAACATAACTTGAGCTTCGGGTTGTTGTGTAAGTGTTTATCAGATTGGAAAGTATCTGCTTCTGTGTCGCAGTTGATTGGCATTCTTCTTGCAAATTTCGTCGCCAATTATTCCTTCGTAATTGACACGTCATAGGTTTTCAAGACAGTTCCTTTTATCCAGTAGAAGTGGAGTGGTTTCCACTGCTTAGCGTACACCAAGTCACCAACTTAAATCTTTTTTACACACTCCAGCCTATTGTCAAATTGATTTTTCATGCGTTCTCATCTCCTTCGTGCAGGTTTGCATCTTGTGGCATTGGCAGTACATGATTCAGCCTTCATCCTCCGGGAATGACAATGGATAGTCGTACTACTCAAGCGCTTCACATCCGGTCAAGAATACAGCGTACAATCTTTGCAAACATCTGAGTAGGCTTTTTTCAATTGAAGCGATGGCATGGTTTTGCCCCGCTTATTCAACCAGTCTGCTTGCAGAAATGGCCCGAATTCAGCCCAGATTCCAAACAAGCTTTATGCCATCGGATTCGTCTGAAGCTGATTTCAAATTAGTGCTATAAATGGCTCTCACTGCCCATGTCAGTTTATCATGGACACAACACTTCTTTTCTTGGTGCAAGAGTTGTACATCAACCTAATATATACACAAACTAGTGCACGAACAAGGGAAAGATAACTCAAGCTTGCCTTTAGAAAAATACAAGTTAAACTTACGAAGAAATGCTCAGAAATTAACCCAGCCATTCCAAAAAAGCTGTATATCATCGAACTCGTCTTAATACGCTTCTTTTCAATCTATGTTTACTACCTGCCAGAGGACTATCTAGAAAGAGTTATGATGTTACAAATGATAAATTTTTTTGAGTTTGGTGAATATATCTCCTTTGAAAGCAACTTGATGACGCAAATTTATAGTAGCTATAGTTATTTTGATTACAAGAAAGAAGCAAATACACCGAAAACTCAAATAAGTGTTTCTGAAACGTATTTCGTGGAACATGCATCACAGAACACTCGACAAATCGCGCATTCAAACGCTCACAACCCTTCCAGATATTCGCTTGGCAGATAATAAACATATATTTGTAATCAGCGTTTCAAGACAAGTTCAATTATATACAGCATCTTTGGTATGGCGGGATTAAGTTCTGTCCATGTCCTGCTTGGCTTAACACACTAATTCCAAATATGTCTAGCTGTCTGTCTAATTAATTAGACTCTCTTTTAGGACGACGCTCAGCAGCTAGACATATTTGGAATTAGTGTGTTAAGCCAAGCAGGACATGGACAGAACTTAACCCCGCCATACCAAAGATGCTGTATATAATTGAACTTGTCTTGAAACGCTGATTACAAATCTGGGATTTTTTGGCGCGAAAGTTGCGTGCGCGGCGACTCACAAGCATTACGGTATCCCAAAGGCTCGTGAACTTGCGTTAAGTGACTGAACCATGTCCAAGGATAATTAATGATATTTAATATTATATTATATATATTTATTTTATATTTATCATCCATAATTAATGATATTTCAAAGTCCTAGCGCTTTTTTTCGAGCGAATTTTTACATACGACTTCCCTTGCTTTGTAGTATGACAATCACACACATGAAAAAGGCCCTGACTCAGCCAAATTATCCTTACCTTTTAAGTAACCCATCAAAGGCCTAAGGCATACCTCCCGCGATTCCAGTCGCGTCGCGATTTCCGACACATACATATTTCCGAGTTCACAGCGCACGCGCGCCCAACTGTATGAGGTCTGGGGGTCCTGCGTCTGTAGTAGATTAACGCTGCGACGAATCGCGGGCCTTTTTTGGGCGGGCATAATCTCAGGGATATCGTTGTTGCGACATCGCTCACACTCAGCGATGTCACCGTCGCTAGTTCTGTACAGCGATGGGCAAATCGCTGTATGGCCTCTTCTATGTGAAAAGTTTTGCATTTTTTGCAAATGCGTATATCATTTAGAACTATCCATCTCACACAAGCGCTTCCTCTCTGCGTAAGAGAAGGATGGTCATCAATCTTTCAGCCTTAGATTTCTGTCCAACCAAGACCTGACTATCGCTGATAACCTGTCTATGTTACAGAGAAGTCTTCATTGACAAATGTAAACCATGGACTTTTTCGTAGCTTTCATTTTTTGCGATAAGAGAGCAGGCCGACCACCAACGCTCCCGGTCTCCTCAACATGTTCCTCCACTTGGCGTCCATCTCCATGCGGTTGCTACCACTTTGGCGAAGAGGCACAATCCGTACGCGTTGCTTTCACAGGGCTTCCAGAAAAACGGGGTTTTCGTGCGTTTTATGCTATTTTGGACCCGTGTTAAACAGGGACTAAAAGGCTTCTAATATGCAAAAATGTCGAAAACCAAGTTTCGGTGAGACACTGCCCGTTTTCTCAAGATTTTCAATCTCACTAACCGCAGATACGTTGGATGGATCGTAGTACCAATAGTTGCTGCTCTTGTAGACGTCCTGATTTGGATCTCGATGACATTTTTTTTGGATGATATAAAATATCGGATTTCGTGCGGCAGTCGTCCTGTATGATCCATGAGGGAACTGGAAAAAAGTATATTTGAGTTTTGCACTCGTTTCAGTGTATTTCAATATACAACCCAATATGATGCATCTCAAAACTGTCGTCTTTGAAAAGGAAATAATTTTTGACATCTCCTCCATCTAAGGTGAGAAAATTCACATAAACGACACCATTCAGTTTCCCAGAGTACAGTAGCCTATCTTTTTCCACAACACTAACGATGCAAAAATTCTCAAACTTTTTTGCATTGAAAATGTATTATTAGAAATTTCCTCACAAGGAAGAGTTCTCAAGTCAGCTCGGTCAACCCGGATGATTATCTCACCGTAATGCGCTTGAAACGCTGATTCCATATCTGTTTTCCTTTTCTGCGGAACAACTCTCCGAAAAAAGTTATGGGCGTTTGAAAGTTAAATTTGTCATGTTTGAAGTGGCTTGAAATTAACTGAAAGCGTTAAAGGCAGTGTCCGGGCAAGAAGTCGATCTTGAGATTTTGTGCTTACCCGGGCCTATTCGCTATGCTGAATCCGAAAATCCACATTGAAGAGCGCCAAAACGACGAAAAGGGGCTCTAACACTGGAGGAAAATCAGAAGTGGGCGGGGTCTTCTCCACTGTGAAATCACGCTCCAAGCTTCGGGGGCGATCTTTTTGATTCCGGTTTCAAGTCATTCGTTTGCACTTGATCGATAGTGATGTCAGGGCGGCTAACGGGTTCGAGAAAGTTGCTCTGAAAGCTGGAAGCGTGAATTCACAGTGGGGAAGACCCCGCCCACTTGCTGATTTCCTTCCAGTGTTAGAGCCCTTTTTCGTCGTTTTCGCGCTCTCCAATGTGGATTTTCGGATTCAGCATAGCGAATAGGCCCGGGTAAGCACAAAATCTCAAAATCGTGTTCTTGGCCGGACACTGCCTTTAAAAGAACACCTAGCCAACTTCCACTGACTGTGTTTCGTCCTTATGGTCAGTATACTTGATACACAACTGATATCGCGTTTTCACGTCTTATTGTACAGCTTTCGTCAATTTTACGTCACTTAAGACTTGACAAATTTGGTCTTCCAAACGCTCATAACTCCCTTCGGAAATATGTTCCGCAGAAACCGAAAGCAGATTTGGATTCAACGTTTCAAGCTTGTTACGGTGATATATAAACTGGAAACTCTTCTTTCTCAGACGAAATCGACATCTTATAAGAAAAGTAAGTTTTAAATGTAAGATCTAGAGCGTAAAGTTGCAGTAGCTTGAATATGCTAAAAACCTCAGTACGCACGCCCTTCGAGGGAGAGGTTGATGTGTGGTGATTCGAGGATAGATTTGATGAGGAGAGTAAGGCGGAGGATGTGCCTGAACACCCCGTTGTTCCTGTTGAGGTTTAGAGGATGGCGCAAAAACAGTCGCTGAAAACGTAGCTAAAATTAGCTTAATTTCCGCTACATTTTCCCTCTTCCATATAGATCGTAAAAACACAGTTTCTATCTTCCAGGAGTCCATGCTCGTGCCATATAGAGCTAGGTGAACTTCTATTTTTTTCTTTTCACCCAAGCTTTATCGAAGCGAATCACTCAGCCTATAATGCTTTTGAAAGAGGAGCTTTTTGGCTAGGAATGCTGTGAAGTGCAAAAGTGAAGTGAAAACCACGGAGTTAACTGGGTTGCTGAGAAGATACAGCTTTGAAGGAATTTTCAAGAGCTCTTGACTGATGTAAGCAAGACTTTTTGCAGAATTGTGCAAGTTATTAGGTCGTTCCATGATCTGTTCGTTTTAGTTCCTTACCGACAGGGCAGACATGCGAGTTTATCGCCTCGCGATTCTCCAACAAGACAACAGTCACGAGTCCAATGCATGCCGATCATTTTGCATTTCAGTTGTGATAATTTTCCGACACGACCAATTGTGACTAACTATCACAGCCAAAATGCAAAATGATCGGCATGCAATGGACCCATAACTGTTGCCTTGCGTGGAGTTTCCCGAGGCGATGAAAACGCGTGAACTCTGCCCGAGGCTTTACATTTTGATTGGGTTTGTACTTTTGGCTAAAATAAGGAAAGTTTCACAAAGTGAATTCAAGATACAGCTTAAGTCTGATCCACCTGGAGTTCAAAGTCAGGATAAAGAAAATTAAAGTACCAGTCGAAATAAAAAAGTTGCATTGTTTTCAGAAAAGATCTTTCGTACCTCTCACGCATTTGCTCCATTTGCATTATTTGAACACTTCTGTAGTTTTTGCAATGCCAGAAACTGACAGTAAAAATTGGCATGCTTTTTTCAAAGAATGCTGGGTATTTCCTTTTTAGGTCATTCTATGAGATTGTATGAAATTTAGGAAGCATATCCATGAGCATTTAGTCTTCTAGCATTGGCTTCAAGGAACATTTGAAAAACATTTCTTTCGATATTTTCGTACCTGAGGCCTGTTTTCCACGGATCTCCCTCATAGAGGGATCACAGCCGGTTAGTCGCGAGGCTACGTGGGGCGTCCCCAGGTGGCGGATAGGGGGATAATCGCCGACCAAAAGCGACCCCGCGCCTGCTCTGATAAGCAAGCGGAGCCGGGGGACGGACTCCCTGCCTCCACTAAAAGCTTGCGCCCTAATTTCCCGGGTAGGTGTGTGGGGAGGCAAGTTCGGAGTCGCCTCCAACAAATAAGCTCCGATCGTCCCTCGCGGGGGTTTTGAGCCCAACAAGCTATCTCTGCGAGTAAATTCTTGTTCGACACAGTGATAATATGGAAAGCTCCTTTAATCTTGGAAGAGCCACTGGTAAGGCAGCGCCAGTGGGGACAAGGTTTGAAAGGCGATCTAGGCTGCCGAAAACGAGACGGACTATGATGACGATCTGTACTTACAACGCGAGGACGCTGGCATCGGACGCATCTATCGAAGATCTCATGATGCAAGCAAGGAAGATTAAGTACGACGTCATCGGACTGACCGAGACAAGGAGGCACCACCCGCTGAACGCCACATTTGAGACTGGAGAAGAACTGTTTCTAGGAACATGCGACAGTCGAGGAGTAGGTGGAGTGGGAGTCCTTGTCAACACGAGTTTGGCCATGAACATCGATTCGTTTGAACAACTTACAACTCGAATCGGACGTTTGCGAATATCAAGATGTGGATCAATCCCTGCCTTGACCGTCTTCATTGCGTACGCCCCAACATCCAGCTACGACGAGGACGAACTCGAGGAATTTTATATGGACTTGGAGAAGTTCTACAGAGAAGATCATACCTTCTACAAGATCATCGTCGGTGATTTCAACGCGAAGATCGGAACTAGAAGGTCGACTGAGGAACTTCACATCGGAACCCATGGTTTTCAGTGGAACGAACAAGGGGAGAGACTGTCCGAGTTTATCATGACGACGAGGACTATCCATGGAAACTCACAGTTCCAAAAGCCCTCTTCCCTACGCTGGACCTGGGAATCGCCCGGTGGAGAGTACCATAACGAGATTGACCACATCATCGTCAACAGAAGGTACTGCCTGACGGACGTCGCTGTTGTTCCGAAGTTCTACACGGGATCAGACCATCGTCTCCTGCGCGCCAAATTCTACTTTCCGCGGAATGGAGAGAGAGCCGTCAAGTTCAGGAAACATCGTCCCATGAATACCACCAACTGGGATCTGTTTTCTTCGATATCCGGCTCATGGCGAGATACCGTGATGGACAACATCGACGAAGAATACGAACGGTTCGTACAACATCTCCACGGTTGTGCCAAGGAAGCTCAGAGTCTAAGAAGTACGAGAAGGCGTCTCACCACGGGGACTTTGGAGCTGATACGCCAACGTGGACGCGCTCGAGCCACAGGCAACTACCGACTGACGTCCGAGCTTGCGAAGCGATGCAGAGAAGCGATAAAAGAAGACCTTAAGGAGAGAAGAGTAGCAGTGATGGTTGACGTCGCGGAGGCTGGAAGAAGTATACGCAACGCCCGCCGAAGCTTCGTCAACTTCAAGACAAAGATAACCGCACTTCGTCGTCCTGACGGAACCATAACTGCTTTCCGAAGATCAATGGAGAAGGTCATCCACGACTTCTACTCGGATCTTTTTGCGAGCCACGTCCACCTTCCACCATGCCATCTCAAGGAGGACGAGTATGTCGCACCGTCTGTTCTTCCTTCCGAGATTCGTCATGCTATCATGTTGATGAAAAACCGTACAGCACCCGGTCCCGACAGGATTAAGCCAGAACATCTGAAGAATCTTTCGCCAGTTCTCATCAAGACTTTGGCAAGGCTCTTCACGCGGTACCTGACGGAAGGCAAGGTTCCAAGGCAATGGAAGACCAGCAAAACCGTGTTGCTGTACAAGAAGGGAGATCCCTGCGACATCGGCAATTATCGCCCTATCTGCTTGTTGTCTGTAGTCTACAAACTCTTTACGCGAGTCGTTCTCAACAGGATCGGAAGAGAGTTGGACGAAGGACAACCATGCGAGCAAGCTGGGTTTCGAAGAGGATTCAGCACGATCGACCACATACACACGGTGTCAAGGCTCATTGAAGTGTCACGAGAGTATAAGATGCCGCTCTGTCTCACCTTCATCGACTTGAAGAAGGCCTTTGACTCGGTTGAGACTGAAGCCGTCATCGATGCCTTGAGCAATCAAGGTATTCCGACTCATTACATCAAGATAATTCGTGAGCTGTATAACGACTTCACAACCACCAGAACACCATTCTACAAGGACATCATCATTGACGTGAAGAGAGGCGTGCGACAAGGCGATACTATATCGCCGAAACTATCCAGTGCCGCTCTGGAGAACGTCATGCGTAAGTTGGAATGGGACAACATGGGAGTGAAAGTCGACGGCCGGCAGCTACACCACCTTCGCTTTGCTGATGACATCGTATTGATAACACCAAGCATCACGCAGGCGGAACAAATGCTGGCCCAGTTTGACGAAGTGTGTGGAAAGATCGGTCTACGGCTGAATCTAACGAAGACGATGTTCATGAGGAACGGAAGAGTGCCTGATGCTCCTTTCATGCTCAACGAGACGAAC